TCCCGCATATTTAGCATATTTCGCAACTTTCCGCATATTTCGCAACTTCCTGCAATTTCACCGCATAAAATCACATAAAAACCCCGCATGTTTAATCGCATAATCAAGGATTTTAGCCCGCATAATCAAGGAATTTAGCCCGCATAATCAAGGATTTTTGCCCGCGTTTTTCTGGAGGGTCTAGAAAGGTTATCATATTCCTCTATTTTCAGTTTATAATAATATAACCTGAACCTTTTTGTTTTAGTTTTAGATGTTTTTTAGAATAGTAACTATGAACCAAATCTGTGTAATCCACATTTTGTGTATCCAGCCAGCTCGACACACTGAAAGACCTTCTGCTGCCTCTCACCTGCCCTTGCGTGCAAATTCAATGGATTTGATGGCGGTGGTGTTGCTGGTGCCTGTCGTAACTCTGAAGGAAGCCACCAGCTCCTGATTGGTTGTTTTCAAAACCAGGATCTGCAACAACAGGGACATGATGGTGAAGGAAACCAGCAAAAACCACTGGACAGCACTCACAAAACAAAGGAACAGCTTATGGTTAAACATTTAATTGGAGAAAAATGTATAAAGTTGGGATTAAGTTATTTATTCTGAAGAACAGAATAACAATTCAGGAGAAATTTCTGGCCTGCATTGATATCTGCTTGATTCTACATGTACATATTCAAGCACTGAGCTTTTTTCTCTCAATATTCATATTGGAAAACTGTGCAATAAGTTCTGTCTGACCTTTCCTTTGGCGTTGCCTGTGTAGATGTACTGCCCCCGCCTGTCGAAGGCAGCCACCACATTGAGGTCTGAGTCGTCGTCCACTGGCAGGACGACGTGTTTGGAGTCTGAGAGCGTCAGCAGGACCGGCGCTGACTTCATGGGACACACCAGCACTTTGTCCCTAAAACACACACACAGATTCTTGTTATAGGAAGGTGTATTAACCCTTGTGCAAAAGTTGCTCAAATGTCCTTAAAGGACAAATATAACAATATAAGTTGAGTTTAATTCACATTCTGTAAATTAAATACTAAGGGAATTCGATTTTTTCACAGTCTGGGATATGTCAAAGATTATGACAGTTTATTTTTGTGCAGGTTAAGATTGTAAATTATAAATAAATACAATTCCAACTTTTTAGTTTAGAAGACTTTCTTAAGCTTCTAAAATGCAAAAATTATATTTATACAAATATCACTTTATCAGTTTTTAATAGGGATGCACCGAATATTCGGCCGCCGAAAATTATCGGCCGAAAATGGTTAAAAAGGCCCTTTCGGCTTTCGGCCGAAAGGGTTCTAGCACCGAAAAAATATCACCGAATGTCAGAGAACAGGGTTACGTTGGTACGTGTTGTTGTGATGACGTAATCAAAACGCGGCGACAAGCACCGCGCGCGACCATGCTCGCGGCTGGCTCACAGCCAACATGTCTGGTGCTTGGAGATATTTAAAAATATCAGAGAAAGAGGCGCGGATTGCGATTTGTAAAACGCGTTCAGCTGACATTTCTCGAGGGGGTGTAACTGCAAAGACTTTCACCACTTCAGGATTACTCCACCACTTGAAATCAAAACACCCGGACAAATATGCGGAGTAAGATCAAATCACAAGCACTGACAGCGAGAGACTTCTTCAGCGCTGCCTCTCATGTGCTTGATGAGAAGAGGAACAGACTTATGGCTGATAAAGCAGAGAAGCTACTGTTCATTAAAAAGAACCTCCCACTTTTCCTTAATAAGTAGACAAGGCTGGCTTATCATAAGCTTATCTAGTTCTACATGTCTACTCTATACCCACTTTCCTGAACAATTTTCATTGTGAGTTATAATTCTCCATCTCAGGTTATCATTAGGGGGAAATGACAGCAGCACAGTGTTCAATATATTGTACTTTCGGTATCTAAATGATACAATGTTGTTTACATTGCTCATGAGGACAGACCACCTTATTTGCAGATTCTTGAAATTGTAATTTAATTTGTAATTGATTGTGGATTTTGTATCCAGTTTTCAC